TCTTTGTCTTGAATGATGCTTTGATGATTCTGTATCCGTGAGATTCCCATCCTACAAGTGCATTTCGTGCTACTTTGGGCAGCATTAGGGCAACTCCCTGAGTGTGTGAAGCATTTTCCTCTTCGTGGCCAGCAGCATCCCTCTCGTATTTAGCCTTTGTTGTCCAGCCTGGGTCCAATGGGTACTGCCAAGTTGTATCTCCTCATTTCCGTTGCTGTTTGACTGGTCTTTCCTGTCTCCCACATTGTTCGAACGTTCCACGTACCTATAAAGAAAATTTTCTGGTTGTTAGAAGAGGCATCGGCCTCGTGGCTTCCGAAGGAACTCAGCTTTCACCATGAGGCGTCATAGTTCTTCTAAATGAAGACCTTCTAACTCCCAGGGCAGAGTTAAAATGGCTTGGATTATTTTTTCTGGTTAGCGTTTCTTAGCGAGTTAGTTTTCTACGGGATGGGTCACTAACCTCATGCCAAACCCTCCTCCTTTACCCGGACTTGGGACCGGCAGTAACTCTGGAAGAGCTACAGGCGGAGTCTTCTCGCCCACACATAAGTAATATATTTAACAAGTGGACATATATATACAAATACACAGACATGCTTCACATAAATCACCTTGACCGAAATGACATGACATTGACTCAGTTAGACCCGTTTTTTATTGATCGCACCAAACATTTTTGCTTTGTTCCCTTGTACTATTTAAACTTGAATTAATTCAATTTGTTTATTTATTCTCTGAAGAAGTAGCTTACATTCAGTCAGGAAACATCAGGAAATCCAGAAATTTGATTTTTCTACATACATCAGTAGTTGCAAAAATCTATTTGAATTGAATGAGTCATTTTCAAACGAAATTAAGACGTTGGCTAAGGCATACTTGATACATACACAACTCAAGACAAACTTTTTAAGTGACCTAATTCCAGCTGAAAATCAATGCTCGACATGCTTTACTGTAAGATAAGAAAAGTAGAAATTTTTCAACATTGTTGTGTTATATAGATTAATAACACAACATTCAGTAGCTATAAATCCTTTTAACATTGGACGACCGTAAGTAATCAATTATTTGGTCAAGTTTTTTATTTAAAGATCTATATAGTTTGAAAATAATATTTATCATTAAATAGAATAGCTGAAGAACCATTGAGAACCTTAAAATATTGAATATTGAACATCTGCTTTGTTCTAGTTTAAAACTATTCATCAGTATTCCTACTAAATGCTATATTGAACAGTCAGTTATTAACAGTGAACACGCAATATCCTTTTATATCCAACAAGCCAGAGTTCAGTTGTCTATCGTTTTAAATTCATTGGACTTACTCTAATAACGTTGTCATAAACATCCTGTAACATCTATAGCTAATTGTCATATTTTTGACTTGGGTTGATTTAAAAATCAAGGCTCCCAACAATACTGTTAAGAAAACAGTCTCTAATAGCTAATCACTTATAGAGAACGGAATTGTTACTGACTTCAGTAATTTTGCAAAGTTTGGTAAGGCTTAAAGATAAGAAATAATAAGCAGTATGAAAAAGAGAGATGTAAATGAATTTGTAAACCAAGAGAATATTGTGAGAGTAGGAAGGACAAGAAATTAAGATAGTTATTAGTCAAATTCTAATGAAGTTGACATAATACTTCTTGAATTTTATTGAATTTCATGGCTTACATTAGTAACTAATTTAGTTAAATAACCACTGAAAATCATGAAGTACTGGATAGCTGCTTCGTTCCTGTACTCCTCAGCAGTAAAACTCCAAAACCCCAGTGAAGATCAGAAGTGATCAGTCCGTGGTGGAAGCTAGAAAAATCTCAACAACCACTACATAACCCCTATGATAATAAAGTCACTAACAACATAAGCTCACAAGGATATTTTAATTTTCAGTATGGGGCTGTGGAGATTGTTGAATTTCACTGAAATCATGAACCTGCCCAGGTTAGAACACCATTGGAAACCTTGAAGCACTGGATGCCCGTCTCCTCCTGGTATGTGAGTCCCAACCAGTCTGCATCCACGATCCTGCACAAGAGAATAGAATTCAGGTCCTTCGGTCTCTCATGAGGACACTTGACCTCCAGACCAATGAGTTGATATCCAATGGTGTTAGTATCCAACTTTAATAAGTTTACGATAGCGCACGACCATCTTTCACTGTGTTCGGTGGTTACCTTTCTCACATCCGACACAGATTAGCTCCACTTTTCCCAACTTCTCACAAGAACTCTGGAAATCTCCTCTCGAAGGGTCCAGGTTTTTAATGGTATTCTAACTTAGATTGGTACATGATCTCAATAAAATATTTGAACATTCGAAATTCTCTTTGGTTGACGTTAAAAAATGACTAGAAATGATGATATTATATATTAAGACAACTAAGATAAATAGTTGATCATTGCGTGAACTATTATTGTTTTGACCTGATTATCTTAAGACTTCAGTGTATTCAATAACATAAAATATTTATGCAAATTTCAAGTTGTTTACAAATAATTCATAACAATACCAGATATCATATTTTTATGTATTGTTGTTGACCGGTAGGGAACTTTTATACTTGCAACTGTTTAATCACATAAGTAATTTAACAATCAATATTTCACTTGAATGAACGTCTGATTGAACAGTTTTAGATTTCTGTTCCAACAAACCGATAAATATGATTCTACGATATAACGCACAGCCTTCCAACAACAACAAAAACTCAACACTATTAGAAAGAGGAGCATTAGTTTCAGCAAAATTACAAGTACGATTTTCAAACAGATTTCAAATAGTACGAAACATAAAGCATCCTATTGGCTACTTATAAACATCTAATATTTCAATAAACTTCCATTCATTTAAGTTAATCACCATATTAAAACTTGATCAATAAAATTCAGTCAACATTAAGAGATCTAAACAAACATAACACTGGTAATAAATCAACTGTAATTTTAACTCTGCATGTCTATTTTAAAGCTTTAAAGTTGATAAATCACATTTCACAAAATAACTAAATTATCAAGTCAATTATTATTACTAAACAATCTTGAAAGTCCAAAAAAACCATCTAAGTTGATTCTATCTAAAAAGTTTTCCAATAATATTATAAGAGTATTTCCTTTAAATAATTCAATTATCATTGTGTATTACATATATGACAGAAGTGACCACTGGAGTTCAATTGGGTCTGTTATGAGATAGTAACTCAGTGATGACATTGGTGGACGGTGTCACAATTTCATGGATTAATTGAAGTTAGACATTAGCACCTTTGGATACCGGCTGGTTCAGTTGTCTAATGGTTAAGCGCTCGCGTGCGAGACTGACAAGTCCTGGATTCTGAATCGTGGATGCGTACTGCTGAGGAGTCCTACAATAGAACGAAACAGCCATCCAGTGTTCCTAGGTTTTCCATGGTGGTCTAGCTTCAATTGACTCATGATCTCAACTATTGAAATATTTTTTTTCTGTTTGAGAAAAAATAATAATAATACTCCTAAAATATCATTCTCATGGTTACCATAATAATATTCATAACTTAATTTATTCACTTTAACATGATGAAAATAAATTCACGTTATTGTATTAAAGCACATTTTCATCGTTATGCCATATATATATATACTCTTTGTCTCTGTGTCTCCCTCTCTCCCTCTCTCTCTCTCTCTCTTCATATATATATGCATCGAAACTAAACAAATTAATTTTGATAAATTCACTTAAATTTATTGATTTAAACCATTTTAAACTAGTCATAACAAGAAAGTATAAAAGTGGATATAATTATTATCACTTTTTTTAAATTTATCGATTAACGAATCATTAAAAAAATTCAACAATGTAGAACAATAATGAATAAGAATGATATGATAGTTTCAGTTGCTATGTCGAGCCTAGATAACTTATACTAGTTTCTGGATAAATTAATTTCTCTATACTTCTCAAGATACATTTTGATCTTATTAATTATTTGCTTATTAATCTTCATTGTGTGTTTTTTTTCAATATGAGCATATGTATGTGTACTTATCCTATTCATCACATGTCTGTAATTTATTCTTTGGTCTGATTATAAATGTAGATCTATACTTGATTAAATTGAGTTGACACATTTGTCTTTACCATATACGCATCATTTTGTTTTGCTTCATTTACCGATTAACGACTATATGATGAAACATACCTATTCTCGTATTTAAATTAATTCAGTTATTTACTAAAATGAGTTAAGTCGATGATTATATATAAGAGGATTGGCGACATGTATATTTTAATAATAATCATTTATATGATCAACCTGGTATCAGATATCAAGTCACAAAAATATCGATATATATAATAAATAAACTTGGATTAATTATGATTTGTTTATTTATTCTCTGAAGAAGTGGCTTATATCAAGTTACGAAACGTCAGAAAATCTCAATTTTTCTACTCATTAGGATATTATTTTTATTTATAACAATCAACCCAATGCTGAATTTATTCGAAATTATCAAGTCAAGCCTTGGTAATGATACTTATATATGTATTGATAAAAATAGATTAATACATGCCCATTATTATGATTATTATTAATACATATTATAAACATATCTGAATGAGACTAAAATATTTGACAAGAATAAAACAAATAAATAAATGAATAAACAATGATTCTGATCTCTTTTTTCTTTCTTTTTTTTTGGTTCATTAATAAATAGAAAAATTCACTTTAATGAATATACAATCTGATCGATTTTATGTTCATCTTAATATTAATAGTGTTTTCTTTTTCACATAAAATAAATGAATCTTTCAAGAAAACAAAAGAAAACAAAACAAAGAAAGGCGTAAAATACATTTAAAAAAAAGAAAGAATAAACTTAAGTAAATCTATTCATTATCTTCTATTAATCTCTGTTTTCATTAAATATGTTCATTTTTTACATAGTATTAGTACTATTATTAGTAGTAGTAGTTGTTGTGGTAGTGGTATTATTAGTAGTATATTCAGCATTATTTATCCTGGAATATCAATTAAATCATTTGTTAATGTTGTTATAGTTGATGATGTTGTCATATATGGTGCTTCCCAAATTAATATACCTCTATCTAATTTTGCTGTTAATTTATTTTGATCAACATTAATTGGTATAGTATTTTCATGTAGAAATTCACGTGCAATTTTAGTTTGTTGATTATTTTCAATATTATTACCTTTTTGTTTAATCATAATTGTTAATAAACCATTTTTTAAATGAATATTTAAATCTTCCGGTTTTACATCTAAGCAACTTTCATACTTTGTGTATAAAATTTCATAGGTTTAGTCAAATGATTAGTACTACTTATATTATTGCTAGTAGTATTCGTTGTTGTTGTTGTTGCTGTTGTATGATTAATTAAACGATTTATAGCATTATTATAATTATTTTGTATTGATATATTGTTTATAGAATCATTTTCATCGACATTATTTGTAACTGGTAGTATATGTAATGGACGTTGAGATTTTAATGTACTATTATTATTCAGCAATTTATGTTCATTTTGATAATAATAATTATTATTATTACTATTAGTGGTAGTAGTAGTAGTAGTATGATTATTCTGTGGAACTTGTGATTGAGATTGATTATGATTTAAAGTTGATTGTTTAGAAGATTGTTTCAAATGAATTGGTTGATTTTTTGTTATTTCTACACGAATATTTTGTACATTATTCATAGGAGTGTATTGATTATGATTTTGATTCGTTTCAACACGTACAGGTATATTAATTGGTTCTGATTTTGTAAAAGAATTACTTCTATAATGATGATTTGGTAGTCGTTGTATATTTTGATAATTTGATAAATTCTGTTTTTTAATATGAAATGATTTATTAAAATCATTTGGTAAATTTGTAAATGATGAATTACGATGTCGTGTTTCACTAGAAAATGATGTACGTAATCTAGGTGAATCTAATATTGAATTACGTAATGGTGGTGAACATGATAATCCCCAATTAATATGACGTTTTAAATTAGGACTCATTTGTGAACTTTTTAAAATTGGTTGTTCACGTTTATTTACATCAGCATATAATAATAATGTATTTTTATTTAAAATAGTACTTTTTAATGTATTTAAATCAACAGATTGTGGTAATTGAATTTCACGTCTAAATTCTTGTTTATATTTTTCACCAGTTGGTTTAATCTCTTCATGATTTAAACTTATAGTAACATCTTGTAATTGTCTTTTAATTCGTATACTTTCTGCTGGATAACCTTGTAAATCGACTTCAATACAGTATTTAGATTTTCCATATGAATCATGTGTATAATATTCTTTACATGGTGTAATAGAATTTAATAAATTTCCTCCTGATCTATATTCCATTGAATGACGATTTAATATAGGAATTGGCGGTGGACGTTGCATGATTATAGATTTAAATTTTATACTAATAACATTTGCATTTATTAAATCTTTTCAACAATTTGTTTCTTTTTATATGATAGTGATTTTTTTTAAAAAAAATTCTCTATTCTTAAGATAATTGGTTTATTTGTTGTGCTGATTTCTATTGGTTGTTTTTCCTTTCAAGGTCACACGTATCAGATCTATTAACCAATCAGAAGTGTATAAATTATTAGTAGGGTTAGTTTATTATTGATGCACTCTCTCTTACATTGTAAATTTATTAAATATGGCAATGATCATTAGAATATTGAGTGTGCATATCTATCTATCTATCCATTATGATATTATTGGTTAATCAAATTGTTACCATATTTACTTTATTTATCTTCTATTATGTATATTAATTTGTATTACATAAGTTGTGTATTAGTGTTACTTTAAAATATTCTATAGATTTACATAATTTTGAAAACTATGTTCATCAAATTGTTGAAACTTCTTCGTCACTATACTATGATCAGTAGGGGTTTTGTGGAGATTTTTAGAAATTTCACTGATTGAAATCATGAATCAATTGAAGCTAGACCACGATGGAAAACTTGGAATCACTGGACAACTGTTTCGTCCTAGTATGGGACTCCTAAGTAGTGTGTATCCACGATCCCGCAACATGGTGGTCTAGCTTCAATTGACTCACTGTTCTATAACATTGGTTGTATTAATGTTTCAGTCTTAGTTTTATATTATAGAAAATTAATGATTTATAATTATTTATTTTCCTTGTTTCAATTACTCTCTTAATGATTTCAACTTTATTCTCACATTTTCATAGGATTCAATTAATGAGTAAACGTTCATGTGTTCACTTATACTCTCTCTCTCTCTCATTTACATTAACTGATAATGAAGTGTTTACTATTAACAATAATTATATTGTTTTAATGGTCAATTATCTAGTAGATTTATTTCTAGAATTGGAAGTGATTAATTGAGATAAGTTTATTAAAGTTAAATTGTAGTGGGTTAGTTTTGTTAAGTGATCATCTTGATAACCGTTATAATAGAAATCTTAACAGTGTTTGAAATCAGAAAGCAATGAGAAACGGTAACTACAGTTTACTAGAGGATAGAGTAAATCACAAAGCTATAAGCACGTCAAGCGAATTTGAAGCAGAGAGGAGAATATGTGTGTGCGAGTAAATACACAGGTAAATTTATAGTCAAATTGTATAAGAACGCATCAATATAATCCAAAAGCTTATAATAGGATTTGAGTACATATATACATGAAGAGGAGGATGAATCATTGACTGATATATAAGTGAGCAACATTTTAGCTCGAGTGTGTCATGTGCTCTAATGATCATAACAGTACAGAGAAATATGCGAATTATAACTGTTCAAATAAGTAAGTTAATAAAAGGGCTTAACCAAAATTAACCATAGTCGAAAATGTTTGTAGGATCGTTGCTATGACGTTTTACACGAAACAGTGACATTAATTCTAATTCATTAATTAATAATTAATTGACTTCAACTTATTCTAAAATCCATAGTTACATTTTCTAATGATACATGTCTCTACATGGATACATGTTTGTTTAAAATATCAAGTTGAAATAAAATACTAAAGCAACTTATATTTTAGTTATATAATATACACTCACTACTTATTTCAAAGTTTATCATGTTATTAAAAGTAAAGTAACCTAAAATTATGATGAACTATTTAGTCAAACAAAGAAACTTGAGATCATTTATTTATTTAATAATATCGAAATGAATTCTGTTGCAATTTTGAAACGTTTTTCTTCTCATTTTAATATTCACATAAACTTATTAGATATCTTGAAACAGAATGATGAACGCTCGCCTGCAAGACTGAAGATGCTGGGTTTGAATCCCTCGAGCGCGATCACGGATGCGCACTGTTAAGGAGTCCCCTACTAGGACGAAACAGCAGTTCAGTAATTCCAGGTTTCCTATGGTGGTCTAGCTTTAATTGACTTATGGACTCAATTATTAAGATTTTGTGGAGATTGATTTAATTTAGAGTTTGTGTTCACCACCTAGTGATATCATTTGAAATACTACTGAAAACCAGGAAGTAATAGATATTTGTTGGGTTTCACCATGAAAATCCTTGGTAGCAAGCAACCACGACTTATTCAGAAGTCGAATCCAGCACCTTCAATTTTCATGATGAACACAATCATTAACACTACTGGATCAGTCTCCAATAGTTTTATTTTAATGTTAAGTAATTCATAATATAGTTTAACCATCATCCAATGTCACTGATGAAAGGTGTTTTATTCCTGACACATTTGAATGGTACTAATTATGAATTCTTATTTTGCACAAATTGATCATAACTAATCAAATGTGTGTAAGTTTAAAAATATTCTTTTAAGTAATAGAACATTCGATATAGATTGTTTCTACAGTTTCAAAATTTCATAACAAACTAATAAGAATAATGTATACAAATAAGTATTGGTGAATAAAAAAATTGTTCACTTATGAATCATTGAAAGTTTCATGAAATAAATTTTATTACTATTTAACATTGATTAAAGTTTTTTTTTCTTCTTTGATCATATCTAATTAATGTTAAACACATTGATCAAAAGTACATTACACAAAAATCTCCGTAGACAGAGTTTCATTGAATATGTATATGTAATAGTACCGATAAACTTAAACAGTATCATTGTTATACATCGCATAATATGTATTCGTTTCCTCAAAAACGAAGAATACATAAAATGAATGTATTGTCATTTTTTTAAAAAAAAACAATAATTTTTTGGTGATTACTTACTCCTGTTACTCCTCGTAGAGGAGCAAAGGCCACCAACCAGCACTCGTCATCCAACCTAGTCCTAGGCAATCCTTTCCAGTTGCTATTCATACTTTTCATGCCTGCTTTCAATTCCTGACGCAGTGTGTTCATTGACCTTCCTCTTTACTACTTCCCTTCAGGATTTCAAGCTAGGGTTTGCCTCGTGATGCAGTTTGACGATTTTCTTAATGTATGTTCTATCCACGTCCAACGTTTTTTCCTAATTTCGTCTTCAGCTGGAAGCTTGTTTGTCCTCTCTCACAGTAGGCTCTTGCTAATGGTACCCGGCCAATGGATGTTGAGAATCTTGAGTAGACAACTATTTATAAATACTTGTAGTGTTTTGATGATGGTTGTTTTAGTTCTCCACGTTTCAGCACCATAAAGTAGGATTGTTTTAATGTATTGAAGATTCTCACTTTGATATTGGTTGACTTCGCCTGTAGCTCTTCTATAGTTACTGCTGGTCCAAGCTCGGGTAAAGGAGGAGGATTGGGCATGAGGTCGGCAACCCTATCCCGCAGAAAAAATCTTGTTAAAAAAACCAACCAAATTATATTCGTGATATTCTAATGATTAGAAATTTGACCTTCTGAGGATTTACTGCTTAGTTGAAGTTGAATCTTCAAAGAGTAAAAGAATAACCAAATTAACTGGACACAAATTTAAATAGTATAGATGAATGTAGGAGACATATATGATTATCTTCTAATCAAATGAAAGCTATAATATTGGCAGTTAATACAAACAATAATTATATACTTGCCATGATATCCTTAAAAAAAAGAACTATACTGTTTTTAAATAGTGTAATTGTAATCTCTTCAACCAGCACAGTCCTTATTGGTTTTCAGAAGATTTATTTCAGACTAGCCATCAATAGGAGACACAACTCTTAAGGTTCATGATTATGTTTGGTTGATATGGGGCGAATCAAAGTAGACAGCTATTTAATATTTTTTTAGTAGTCCACTAAC